AGGAAGGCCTCCTGGAGGTGGTCAGTTTAGAGCAGGTTTCGGGAGGAGGGAGGCAGTGGAACCAAAGGGAGCTGCTGTCCTGGGGGTAGGCGAGCTGGTGGCCGGCATCTGGGTGGATGTGCACCCCCTGGGTGCTTCACCACCACCTCGCAGCCGCTGGCAGGCAACAGGGGCTTCCTCCTCCTGCCTCTGTAAAGTTTCGCCGAAAGTAATAGGCCCAGAGAGAGGCAGACTCGTTGAGTTGGCACAAGGTGGACCTGAGGACGCCCTTCTTGTTGCAGCAGAGTTGCTCCTGGCTGAGGCCCACTCTTCTAGGCAGTGTGCTTTGGGTCTCCCGAATGAAAGCCTGTCCTGCACGGTGGGCTTTGTGTGGGTGCAGGGTGGGGCTGTCTGTGGCCTCTGAGAAGGGGGCTGCTGTGCTCAGGTCTGCGTGCTCCTGGCTCTGCCCTGACCCGGCCAGTGGCTTACTGGGGCTCTGAGTCTGTGTTGTCATCCTTCTTGCCTTGACGTATGAATGATGCCATCGATGTATAAATGAACCACATCTCCCGTGTTTTAAAGTTTTTCCTAATTTAATAATTCAAAGTAGTGCCTTAATCCTCTTGTATGAAGCGGGTTCCAGGGGATAGGAATCCTGTGTTGTAGTGTTACAGGGCAGCCAACTGTGCACTGGGGGGTTGGGGGGGGGGCGCTGTCTTGTGACTTAGGGTTTCATCATAGACTAGGGTTTCATACTGAGCCCTTGGGGACAGTGTGGGGGAGGGCAGGAGAGGGAGCCTGGGAGGGACGCTATGAGGAGGTGGGTTTGTTGATTTCTCCAGCTTAGTGCTGCTCAAACCTGGATAATATATTGACTTAGCCTTTTAATAATAGCTTTATCGAGATAGAATTCACATGCCGTACAATTGACCCATTTAAAGTGTACAACTTAGTAGCTTTTAGTATATTCAGAGTTGGACATCTGTCACTGCAGTCTAATTTTACATTTTCATCAACCCCAGAAGATACCCTGTACCCATTGCTCATTACCTTCCACCCCAGCCCACTAATCCACTTTCTGTCTCCATGGATTTGCTTGTTCTGAACATTTCGTATAAATGGAATCACACAGTGTGTGGCTTTTTTGTGGACTCCCTTTTGAAGCCAAAAAAAAAAAGCTTCACTTATTGATTTAAATTTCCTTATTAGAATATAACTTATATGTGTACAAATATAAAACTAGATGTAAGTGCCTAGTTATAGGCTTACATAGTTTTGATATGACTATAAACAAACATGAAATAAAACCAGAAAAAAACTAACAGCACCAGAAAGCCAACCCATTTCAAGTGAACGATGTTAGTTTGGAGGGGAGGATGTCGCCTGTGCTGATGGCGGAGAGCTGGGCGTCCTCTCTTTCCCCTGGCTCTGTTGCTGGAGCCTGCTCTGCAGAGAGGCATTAATAACGCTGGGCTAGCTGGATGGTTTGGGGTAATTCTGATTACTCACATTTGAGCCCAAACTACCAGTGAATAATCCCCAAATCTCTGTTTTAATGGAGCATTGCTTGAGGCCTGGAAAGCAGGCTCGTTTGATTGGAGATAAGGGCGGAACAGTGGCGTTATTGAAATCTGCATATTGTGGCTCTTAAACCCGCTTCTGTGGGAATCAGGAATTTGGCACAAAGAGATGAGCTTGGCTCAGTTCACGCAGATGCTCTCAACCTGGACGTGGTCCCGACTGCTAAGAGGCCAGGCCTTTGAATGGGGCACATCCAGGCTGCCATGGGCTGTGGGATCGCTCAGTCCCCACCCCACCCCCTCTTCTCCTCTTTGAACCACCTTTGTTTGTGCTGTGTGCGGTGAGGTCACTTGGCCGTGGAGGAGGAACCAGATTGTAAACATGGGAGCCAACTTGAGCCCCAAGCTGCACGGCCGTGCCGGCTCATGAAGGTCGTTCAGGTGAACAGGTATATGCTCATTATTCCTTTTTTTAATTGAGGTGAAATTAATATGATGTAAATTTAACTGTTTTAAAGTGTGCAATTCAGTGGTATTTAGTACATTTACAAGGTTGTGTAACCATCGCCTCTATCTAATTCCAAACATTAAAAAATTTTATTTTATTGCGGTAAGAACACGTAACGTGAGATCTGCCCTCTTAACACGTGTTTAAGTGTACATCATTGCTGTTGACTGGAGGGACAGTGTTGCACAGCGGCTCTTAGAGCTTATTCATTGTGCTTAACTGAAACTTTGTGCCTTTGATTAGTAACTGCCCGTCTTCTGCTCCCCCAGCCCTGACAGCCACCATTCCACTCTCAGTCTATGGATTCCCCATGTAAGTGGAATCATGCAGTATTTGTCCTCCTGTCACTGACTTATTTCACTCAGTGGACAACTGTAATGTCCTCAAGGTTCATCCATGTTGTAGCATATTATAGAATATCTTTTTTTAAGGCTGAATAATATTCCATTGTATGTGTATATCACATTTTCTTTGTACAACCATCAGTGGACATTTGGGTTACTTCCACCTCTTGGCTCTTGTGAACAGTGCTGCGGTGAACATGGAAGTGCTAATATCTCGTTGAGATCCTGATTTCCATTCTTTTGGATAAATACCCAGAAGTGGGCTTGCTGGATCAGATGGTAGTTCTATTTTAAATTTTTTGAGGAACCCCCATACTGTTTTCCGTAACAGCTGCGCTGAGTTGCATTCCCACCGACAGTGTGCAAGGGTTCCAATTTCTTCACATCCTTGCCAGCACTTGTCTTTTGTTTTTTTGATAATAGCCATCCTGACAGGCATGAGGTGATATCTCACTGTGATTTTGATTTGCATTTCCTTGATGATTAGTGATGTCGAGCTTCTAAAACCTTTTCATCTCCCCAAAGGGAAACTCCGTATCTGTTAAGCAGTCGCTCCTGATGCCCACCCCCACCCAGCCCCTGGTAACCACTAATCTGCATTCTGTCTCTGTGGATTTGTCTGTTCTGGATATTTCACATAAATGGAATCATACAGCTTGTGACTTGTCGTTCTGGCTTCTTTCACTTGGCGTAATGTTTTCAAGGTCCATCCATGGTGTAGCATGCTTCATTCCTTTTTATAGCTGAATGATAATATATTGTATAGAGATACCACATATTGTTTATCCGTTTATCAGTTGATGGATGTGGATTGTTTCCACTTTATGGCTGTTGTGAATAATGCTGCTATGGACATTTGTGTACCAGTTTTTGTTTGGAACCCTGTTTTCAGTTCCCTTGGGTATATACCCAGGAATGTAATTGCTGGGTCATATGGTAATTCTGTGTTTAACTTTTTGGGTTTAATATTCTGGAATTAGATAGTGGTGATGATTGCACAACATTGTGAACGTACTAAATGCCACTGAATTACATATTTTAAAAGGATGAATTTTATGGTATGTGAATTAAATCCCAATTAAAAAAAAAAAAAGGAGCTCACAGATCCTGAAGTAACCGTCTGTGGAGTCTGGCTTGAGTCCCATTCTCGGCTCTGGAGAGCCCAGAGTCCTGCATGGCCTCGTGGAAGCCTACCGGCTTCTGGGGGGGTGGCACGCTGGGCCTCAGCGTCATCCTGGTTTGGGGTGGCAGGTGGGTGCTGCCTGCCCCCTGCCTTCGCTCATTCCAGCCCTTTCTGGCTTCTAGACAAGAGGTGCTCACTGTGGAACTTGGTACCCTGGTTTTCCCTCCCGTGAAGCGGGCCTGTGGGCAGCCAGCCGGTGCTGACCTGTGCACCGGACCTGCCTCCCCACGGGAGCCCTCCCCCATCCTACCTGGCGCCCTGGGCGCCACAGGGCTCAGCACCGTGTTCTCTGTCCTCGCAGGGCTGCAGGGCCTGCTGCTTCTGAGGTGGCTCGGGACCGAGCCCGGCTAATCTGTCTGCCTGTTCTCCGCGCCGCACACCCGCTTCCCCTCGGTCTGTGTGTCTCTGTCAGTGCCGATCGCATCCCTCTATCGTTCAGGCCCAGCACCTAAGGCGTCCAGGGGCCTCCGTTTCCCTCACGTTTCAGAAGCGACATGTCAGGTGGTCCTGTTGGCTCCACTTTCAGAGTGGGTCCAGGGTGAGCCCTTTTCCTCGCCTCCCCCCAGTGCTGGCCCCAGCCTCCCGTGTCACTTGCGCTGCCGCAGTGACTCCTGATGGGTCTGCTGGCTTCTGCCCTGTCCCTCGACAGATTCTTCTCACACAGCAGCCAGGGTGACCTTGTAAGAACATAAATGTCAGGTCAGGGCACTTCTCTGCCCAAGCCCCCAGTGGCTCCCCATTTACTCACAGTGAAAGCCAGAGTCCTTACAGTGGCCTCAGGACACCCCCATCCAATACTTACCCCCTCACTCACCTTGCTGCACCCAAAATGCCTGCCTCATGGCTCCTTCCACACACTGGGAACACCCCACCTCAGGGCCTTTGCACGGCTTTCCTCTCAACCTGGGATGCCTTTCCTCCACAGAACCACATAGCTTGCCATGTCGCTTCCTTCAGCTCTTTCCTCAAATGTGAAGCCTCCCTGGATACCCTGTCTAAAATGTCATGCCTCATCTCCATAGCCCTTTTCTTCCTTATCACCTCCTGCTATGCCATATATTTTACTAATTTGTATAGGTTATTTCTGTGTCTCCAGCTGCTGTGTACAAGGCAGGAATTTTTGTTCTGTGCTGTCAGTGCCTAGAACAGTGCCTCACACATAGCAGGTGAAATTTTGTGGAATAGCTGCATGAAGAGGGAATGATTCAGTCCATTTTATAGATGAGGAAACTGAGTCTCAGAAAGGCTGACTATGGGGGCCTGCCCAGAGGCGCAGCGGTTAAGTGCACACGTTCCGCTTCGGTGGCCCGGGGTTCACGGGTTCAGATCCCAGGTGCAGACATGGCACCGCTTGCCAAAAGCCATGCTGTGTTAGGCATCCCACATGTAAAGTAGAGGAAGATGGGCACGGATGTTGGCTCAGGGCCAGTCTTCCTCAGCAAAAGGAGGAGGATTGGCGGCAGTTAGCTCAGGGCTAATCTTCCTCAAAAAAAGAAAAAGGAAAAAAAAAGAAAGGCCAACTATGAACCTGGTCTCATGACTCCCAGGCCCAGTGCTGTTTGCTGAGCCATAGTTTCTACCTTCTTTTCCCTAATCCCTGTTTCCAGGGACAGCCATTCTAAACCTCGTGGGCTGGAGCATTCAGATTTCCCCTTAGGAAGTTCTCCTTGTTAGCTCGAGAGCTGTGGAATTGGTGGTTACCTCCTGGCATTTGTGTGGAAATGATGGTAAGAGCCTGCCCTCATTTGTTGAGCTCTCCTTCTGGTTTCTGTGCATAATGCTACAACCTTTGGAAAAGTAATCTACTGTAGTTTTAAAATGCGTTTGCCTTTTTATGTAAGCAGTCTGAATTTTGGTAGCCTGTCCTAAAGAAGTGCAACTACAGGATGTAAGGCTTTGTGTGCAAAGATTTTGTGGCAGAGACCACACTGTCTCCTTTCAGTTCCTTGTTCTTCCCCTCCTCAGGGCATTTTCACGTCCTGTCCCCTCTGCTTGCCATGCTTTTTCACATGGCTGAAACCTTCCTGTTTTTCAGATATATGGCATAGGCCTTCTGTGACTGTCTTATCTAAAATATGTCCTTTTCCTACCTTCCTCATTTTCTATCTCAGCATCTCAGCCCCTTGCAACCCACATCACAATGTATACAGTGTGTCATTATTGTATTTCTTTGTGGACTCCCTCCGTCCCTCCCTCTCCTTTTCTCTCTTTTGTTAGAATGTCTGCTCCACAGGCCCAGGACCTGCCAATCTGGTTGACATGGTTGATACTTAGTAGCTATGTGTTGAGCAAATAGTGATACAATGGAATGGCCACTATTGAACAGACAGGGGTGGAGTTATATGGAATTAACTGGGAGGGGTGTTTGTGGTGTTCTGTTAAGGGAAAAAAGCTTATTGTAGAAGGAAGCTTAGGGATAGGCTTGGAGGGGGATTGGAAGGGCATAAATATTTTCTTTATATGTCATTGTTTGACTTGTGACAGTAAGTACACCTTTTGTTATAAAATATGTGGTCAACCAAAAAGTCAAAAAAAACAAAAAATCATATCCAGTGAGAGGGAGCATCAGGATTTGAACCTGGTCCTTCTGACTCCCAGCCCATGTTCTTACCCAACACCCAACACTTCCCATGGCCTTTCCATGTCCAGCTTCACTCTCACCTCATTGTAGTCATCGGAGGAAGGCAAAGGATGGGTTATTAGCTGTTTGTATTTGTTTTGTAAATTGAGATATAATTTGCAGACAGTAAATCAGGGCATGGTCTGATGAATTGTTGCGGATCTATCACCTGTGTAACCCATACCCAGATCAAGATACAGAGCATTTCCAGGGCCTGGAAGGGTCCCTGGGGCCCCTTCCTGACCCTCCCACACTCTCAAGTGGCCACGCCTCTGAGTGCCTTCCCAAGGATCAGTCTTGCTTGTTGTTGAACTTTATGTAAGTGGAATGATACAATATGAGCTGTTTTTATATGGCTTCTTTCTCTCAGTGTAAACCCTGTAGGATTCACTCATGATGCGCGGGTCTCAGCAGTTTGTTCTTTTTTATTGCTCAGTAGTGTTCCGTTGTGTGGTCGTACCACAATGTGGTCCTTTTTTTCCTGTAGATGGACTTTTGCCTTGTTTCCAGTTGTTAGAGATTATGAAACAAGCTGCCCAACACTCCCCTGTCTTTTTTTTAATTGTAAAATATAGCTACCATAAAGTCTACCTTTTCAGTGATTTCAAATTGTACAGTTCAGTGGCTTTAAGTCCATTCACACTGTTGTACAACCGTCACCACCGTCCACCTCCAGAACTTTTTCATCTTCCCAAACGGAAGCTCTGCCCAGTGACCAGTAGCTGCCTGCTTCCCCTCCCCGGCCCTGGCAACCACCGTTCTACTTTCTGTCTCTGTGAATTGGACTGCTCTGGGTGCCTGCTGTAAGTGGAACCATACAATATTTGCCCTTTTGTATCTGGCTTGTTTAAACACTTAGCATAATGGCTTCAAGGTTCATCTATATTGTAGCATGTATCAGAATTTCATTCCTTTTTAAGACTATAATTGTTCTTTTGATCACATTTTAAAGGCACCTCAGAATTTTGGGAGTGAGTGAGTGGGTCAGCTTGATGGTGGTAGTGGAATAAGTAATATTTATTCACATTTGCTGGGTGCCAGCCCTTCCCCTGTGTTGTCTCATGTAATCCTTACCACATCCCTATGAAGCAGGTTCCAGTATTGTCCTCATTTTACAGATGAGTGAACTAGGTTCAGGGAAGTTCAGTAACTTGGCCAGGGTCATGCAGCGAGTCATTGGTCACCCCAGGTGGGGTGCCCACTCACCTGACCGCACCGCCGGTGCTCCGTGGTCCCGGCCCTGCGCAGTGCCCAGGCTGGGTGCCGGCTTTTCTTCCCTCAGCACCGGACTTAGAGCCGATTCCTCGAATCCTCCTCGTCACCTCTTGGCGGCTGATCGGAGCTGAGAGTGGAGCTGATCAGTGCCAGCTGGCCCTGGGGAGGCCGTGCAGGGGCCCTCCTCCCTGGCCCGGCTCCGCTCTGGGTCCTGGTTTCTGTTGAAAGCCCCTTTATGGTGCAGCTTCCCTAGCTGGGCAGGGGTGGGCCTGTGGGGACATGGGGCCTCCGGGTCCCGCACAAGGCTGGCAGGGGCCGCCTGGTGCAAGGCTGCCAGGGCCGGATGTCGCTGTTGGCAGGACTTTCCCTGAACAAACGACTACCAGGAGCTTTGGGATCAAAAGGATAGATAAACAGGAAGAGGGAGAAACTTGAAAATATTTTCCTTCCCCTCCTGCGCCCCGGCGCTTTCTCCTGCTCTTCCCTCGGCCGCTGAAGGGTGGAGGTGGCACAGCCCTCCCCCTTCCAGAAGCCGCCCGGAGCCCTACGGAGCCACGGCTGTGGGCCTTCGGTTCTAGGGCTCAGGGTTTGCTTTGCCTGGTGGGTTGGGCTGAGCCTGGCGTTCAGGGCCCGAGTGTGAATCTTGGCTCCACTGTTTCTGTGCCGTGTGGTCCAAGCTGATTCGCTCAGCCTGTCACCGGGTCAGAATGGCCATGGTCCACAGCTGTAGGAGTGTTGGGGATAACACGGTGTGTGTTCGTTCGCTGCATACTGGCTGTGGGTGCTCAAGAGGCGTGTACGGGGTTGTCTCAGTTGAGCCTTGCAGCCGTTCGGAGTGGGCATGTTACTGTCTCCATTTGACAGACGGGCAGCGCAGAGACGTTAAGTGTTTCTGTCAAGGTTACACGCTAGTGGTGATAGAGCTGAGGCTCACACGCAGGTGGGGTGTACCCAGCGCCCTGCCAGTTCATCGTCTGGCGCTGGTACCCACCTCGGCATGTGGTACTGTTGGTACTGTGAATTCCTTTCCCTTCTCTTGTACAGAGAAACTAAGTTGGTTGGGGTGATGGGGCAGTAGGGCGAGGCCTGCAGAGCCTTGGGCCTTAGTGGTCCCAGAGCGATATCTAGCCCTTGCTGAGGTGCTCCCCGCATGATACCTCCTCCGTGCAGCCTTCTTAGGGTGACTCATGGCATCGTCCTGCCTCTCTCCTACTGCCCCAGCCTGGGCAGCACATCTCACCCTGCAGAGCAACATCCTAACTCTCTGGCAGGGCCCCAAGACACTCGGGGTTCAGGCCAACCTCACCCCGTCCTCTGTTCTGGCCTCACAGTAGCTTAATACTTCCTAAGAGCTCTGAACAGTGCCAAGCATTTCTCTCTCCATGCTGTTCCCTCTGCAGAATGCTTTTCTTGTCTGTCAAATGATGATCACCCTTCAGGGACCACCTCAGTAGCCTCCTCTTCCAGGAAGCCTTCCCTGACTTCCTGACCCTGAGTTAACATCTCTCTCCTTTGTGCAGCTCGGTGTAGCAGGAAAGTTCCTGCAGTTCCTGCCCTGGTGTCAGCCTCCCTGAGTCTCACTTTCCTCATCTGTGGACGGGGGATGATGGGAGTCAGGGAGAGGAGAAGGCCTGGATTCTCCTCCTCTGGCCTGTGTGGAGTTGGCCAGGGCCTGGTGAAGCATGGCCCTCTCAGGGTTAACTCCCTGCCTTGCCAGGGGCGGAAGTGAGGAGGACAGAGTGTGAAATGAAGTCACTTCCCCGCCTGGGGGTCTGCCGTGTGCCTGGCCTTCCGCAGTAAATCCTGTTTCCTCCTTGGCCTCTGCGTGCCCACCCACTTCTGGCTCCCATGACCCTGAAGGTCCCAGCAGGTGGGGCTCCCGATGGAATGTTGGCCTGTCACTCATCCGGCGAGGTCACTTCCTGTCTGGGTCAGCTGTCCTCCTTTCCTGCCACAGCCTTCCTCTCGGGGGTTTCATGGGAATGATGGGTGCGGGGTTCGAGGGAGGCTGCCCGAGCTCAAGCCCAGTGCCAGTGCCCAGCCTGCACTTCACTCTGGGGGCACTGAGGCCCAGGGAGGGCGGGCACTTCCCTCCAGGCCACGCTCCAGGTGTGGGGACTCTGGCTGTCCCCTGGGGTCGCAGCTCTGAAGTATGAGGTGTGGACGTCGCTCAGCCTTTCTGGGCCTCCATTTCTTCTTCTCTGGAACCAGGGGGAGCCTGTGTGTCACATGTGCCCCAAGCACTGACCCGCTCAGGGCGGGACATCCATGACCTTGTTTAGCCCTCATTCCACTGCAGGGAAACTGAGCCTCAGGAAGGGGCCCCGGCCTCGGGTGGGGACAGCGCCGGGAGTCTATCCAGGTCTTTCTGACTCCGATATCCTAGTTTTTCCACAGGAAGCTGTTTAGCTTTCCATCAGCGACAACTCAGGAATGGCATTGCTCCCCTGTCCTTTCCTGTGGGTCAGGGTCTCCTTGGGCTGTCAGGTTGGTACGGAACCATGGGTACTGGCATCAGAGGCTGTCCTGTGTAGGTCTTTTTCTCCTCCTCGTTTTTCTATCAATAGTATATGTTCATTCTGGGAAAGTCAGAGAAATTGCAGGTATGCAGGAAGATTAGAAACATCAGCTGTGATCCCCCTTCGCAGCAATAGCCACAGTTCACCATTAATGTTTGGAGATTTGTCCTCCCAGACATTTTTCACGTGTGGATGTGTGTGTGTGTCTGTGCTTGTATACAAGAGCCCGCCCTCCTATTTATGGAGACCAAACTCTAAAATACTATTTGGTGTCTTTTTTTTTTTTGATTAAACATACAGTAGGTATTTTCCTATGTCAGTCAAGAAACTGCCCCTTCTTTCTTGTGAAACTTTTAAGTTGACATTTAACGTTCACAGAAAAGTACACCCATCACAAGTGTACAACTTGATGACTGGCCCAGGGGAGCACAGCCTTTGGAGCCTCGCCCAGCTCAAGGAACAGACTCCTTCCAGCACCCGGGGCCCCTGGGCCCCATCACCAGCCCCATTCCTCCTCCAGAGTTGACTTCTTCCTGGACTCCCAGCGCTGTGGACCAGCTTGGCCTGTTTTTGAGTTTTAGATAAATACAGTCACACAGTATTCGCTTACGTTGGCCTCTTTCACTCCACATTCTGTTGGTGACATTCATCGGACCGTCCGTCCGTTTTAATGACTACAGGATGACGTCCATGGTACATTCGACTCTGACTACCGTTGATGTGAAAGATGTTTCCAGTCTTTGACTAATGTAAACAAAGCTGCAGCGACCACCTTTGTCGCCATATCTTTGATTATTTCCTTTGACTCAATTGATGAAAGAATTGCTGGGTCAAAGGGTTGCACATTTTTAAGGTATTTTAGAATTATTGCCAGATTGGCCTCCAGAGAGCCGTGCCAGCTGACATCCTGCCAGGTGCGTAGGAGGGCGCGGATGCCCCACCCGCCCTGACTCCGGGTGTTTCATCCTGCAGTACCTGTGATCTGATGATAGACAACACGTGGCGTCTCATTGTTTCCAGTTGTTAAATTACAAGTTAGAGTGAACATTTTTTCTTGGCCATTTGTATTTCTTGTCTCTTGGTTATTTTTTTGTTTGTTTTTGATCTGTTTTAGTCTCAAGATGTACTTGTTTTCTCATTTGTTTGAAAAAAACACTCTACATTGAATATGATAAATAATAAACCTATGTTGAGAATATTTTTATCCAGTTTGCCATTTGCCTCGTAACTGTGGTTTTGCTGTGTTGGTTAGAAGCTGACCATGTTTTTGTAGTCTCATCTACTGAGATTTAACTGCATGTCTTCTCAGGCATTTTGTGTAGAAATGTCCGCCCTGAGGTTATACAAATGTTTGCTTGTCTTCTCCTCCTTCACTTCTGTGGTTCCCTTTGTGGCACGCCATCGTTCCTCCTTCTGCGCTTCCCTGGGAGTGTGATGTCAGGTGAGGGACGGCTGGAGCTTAAGAGCGTGCGCTCGGAAGCTTTCGCCACCTGTGTACCCTTGGGCAAGTTGCCGGACTGTGTGCCTCAGTGTCTGTACCTGCAAAATGGGAACCATGCTAGTAAACACTAACCGCAGTGTTACTGCGAGGGTTAAATCATAGCTATTTGCAAACTTTTTAGTCTCTGGACTCTTCCCTTTACATTCTTAAAAATTGAAGACCCCGAAGAGCTTTTGTTTATGTGGGTTAGATATATAAATCAATATTTACCATATTAGAAATTAAAACAGTATATTTAAAAACACATTTATAAATTCATTTAAGAAATGCCAATAGTAAACCCATTATATGTTAACGAAAATAAAATATTTTTCTGAAAAATAACTGTTTTCCAAAACAAAAGCTAGAGTGAGAGGAGTGGTGTGGTTCTGCAGTCTCTGGAACGTCTGGCTCAATAGGAGACAGCTGCATCTCCCGTCTGCGCCTGCGGCCGTCTGCTGGGATGGGTTGTTTCCCTCGGAGTGTGTGAAGACAGTCCAGCCTCACACAGAGGTGGTTGGAGAAGGGAGGAGAGTTTTACTGGCCTGTGGATATTTTCCTTTGATACTACATAGAAATTCGACAAGTG